ATCCCAGCACTGGGGAGGCAGAAGCAGGCCAATCTCTCTGACTTCAAGGCCAGCCTGATCTACAGAGCGAGTTCCAGGACACGCTCCAAAGCTACAGAGAAACTCTTTCTCAAAAAAAAAAAAAAAAAGAAAGAAAGAAGAGAAAGAAAGAAAGGAAGGAAGGAAGGAAGGAAGGAAGGAAGGAAGAAAGAAAGAAAGAAAGAAAGAAAGAAAGAAAGAAAGAAAGAAAGAGAAAATGCCTCCAACTGCATGCATGCTCTTTTGGATGTTTCCGGCCCCATCAAAGCTTCTAACAGCCCAGCCCAGCAATGTGCAGATCTTGACTCCCTGACAGGGTCTCAATTAATTTACTATTCAATAGTCCAGTCATGCTGCCTTGTGCCGTCTCTCTGCTGAAACAACTTCCTTTCCCACGGTGTAGGCACGCCGCTAACTGCTTTCTGCTCCGAGTTCTCAAGCCCAGACAGCCATAGCTCTCAGCCTGAAGCCACAGACCTGGGGATGGCAGTCTACTGTGAGGGTGCCCAGACTCCCCAAGATTCCCACCTCAGTGATGTTCTTGGTGACTTTTGCTTCCACATCGTATCTCTCCTCATCCACTTTGTCCACCCGAGCATGGAGCTGCCGGCATAAGTCCTGATGAAAAAAGTGCATGTGTGTTGAGAGAGAGGCTGGAGAGTGGGTTCCCTGGTCTGAGGGAGGAGGCCTGGGCTCTGGTTCCCTGGGTCTGAGGGAGGAGGCCTGGGCTCTGGATCCCTGGGTCTGAGGGAGGAGGCCTGGGCTCTGGATCCCTGGGTCTGAAGGAGGAGGATTGGGCTCTGGATCCCTGGGTCTGAGGGAGGAGGCTTGGGCGCTAGGTTCCTGAGTTTGCGAGAGGAGTGCTGATATCTGGACTCCTGGGCCTGAGGAAGCAGGAGCTGGAAGGAAACAACATTGGCGTGAACTCCAGGGAACTTCAAGTAATATGGCTAGGAACCAAGAATCCTGAGACTTGGCGGGGAACGGCTGGAGAAATACACTGGGTTTTGGATGTTGTAACGCTGTCTGTATTGCTTGGCATAAGGTCCCGAGTGAAACGGGAAACCGTGATTGTGCTCCTGATACCCAAGGGTTGCCAGATCCGAAACATGGAACCTCCGGCCCCAGGTTCGGCAGGAATCCCTGCTTTCTGAGCTGATACCTGAAGCTCTTCAAAGCCCAGCCCATCCAACTCCAAAGGCTGGCACCGAGTGCTCAGAACGCGCCCTTTCTCTCCACGTCGCTCCTCTGCCTCACGCTCTATCTCCTGCTTCGCAATCTGCAGCATCAGAGTCTGCAGAACGGTTGAAGACAAGAGTGTTCCCAAGAGCATAGCAACAAAAAAATTCCCTCCATCTTCCAGAGAGACAGAACATCCAAGTTGGTATCTTTTACTCAAAAACTGTCTCGTTTCTGCGCACACATATTGGGGGGGGGGGGCGGGGAGGAGACGTCATGACACACTCCCAAATGAAACCACACCCAGAAAAGCTCCGCCCATAAAGGCCCTGCCCCTCTGAGCACGTCATCACCTTCAGCTGAAGTTTCCTCGAGGCGGAGATCTTAGACTTTTTCTGCCAGAATGACATGGAGAAAGGTCAGCGAGAGGTCCCAAAGCTGCAAGGCCCCACCTCTCACTCGAGTACAGGTACATTTGGGCCACCCGTTCTTCAGCTAGAACGCTGAGTTCACCGGAAGCTTGGGCTCTAACCAGAGCTACACACTGCCCATCTATCCACCGCTCCCCACCCCATCGCCTATGCCTTGCTGTGGGCAGCGAAGTCCCACCCCCAGGCAACTGTCACCAAGCCCAACCTGCACCTTTCAGAAATTCTGCCCCACCAATCGGGCTCCATCCATCACCAGAGTCCTGCCACCCCCGTCAAGGCCTTGGTGCCGCCCCTCCCTGGTCCCTGAGGAGTCTGCATCCAGAAGCCCCGCCCAGCGGTGACCCCACCCATTAGGACCCCGGCCCACCTTGGCGTGTGGCTCCGTGGCATAGGCTCGGTAGTTGGCAGAGGAGCGGCGTCGGATAGGGGCTGGTGCCGGCTGAGGGTCCCCAGCCTGGAGGTGGAGCAGACTACAATCACTGCCTAAACCCTCTCACCCTGTCCTTCCCGGGACCCTCACCTACAGCTGCAGGTTCCCCCGCCCACCGCGCCCCAGTCCCTTGCAGCGCCCACTCTGGGCCCAGGGTTCCCTGCTCCACTTCTTAGTTCACAGCGCTCACCGCATCGCTCCTGAAGGGAGAGAAATCGTGAAGAGGCAATCAATGACAGGGCTCCTACTGACCAAGAGGTCGGGGCTACTAACTTTCACTCCCTCGGACCCTGGGGGTCTGATTCTCAAATGCTTACTTATTTCCACTCAGAAATCTAACCACCCTTGCCTTCTACCATCTCAGGCCAAGCGCCCTGGAATCGCCCGATTACTCCTCTCCCCGTTCCTTGGGGATCCAGTCCAAGGTTACCAAGATTCACTTACTCGTCTGCCATGCTGATCCCTCAAGAGAGAGAAAGGGATCAGAGCTTCCTGGAGGGTCCTGGAGGGGTGTCCCCAGCGACCTTGGAGGTCTCTAGAGGTTGGGTCCCCTCTGGGCTGCTCGAGCCTCACTGAGGACACTGAGATAAGGGGCGAGGACAAAGACTAAATATACTGCAGTCTCCTCCCCTGCCCAGGACAAGAGATAACAGGGTGTGAGGGGAGGAGTGTGCAGAGCCCCAGTTGGATGACCAAGGTGCCCGAGGTCCACACCCCCCTCCTTCTGACTCTGGTGACCCAGCTCCCTCCTCCCTCAGACTCTGGAAAATCTGGAAGCCAGCCCCCTCTTCTCTCCAAGTCCAGAGTCCAGACTTCAACTTCCCCTGTTCACACCCAGAAATCCAGGCCCGTCCTTCCTCCTTCACACCTAGGGGTCCAAGCCCTGGTCCCTCCCTAAACTGCAGTCTTTCGGGGGCCTAGAATTTCTTGTGTCTCCTCTATTTGGGGGTCAGCTTCAGTGACCATAGCTTGTTTAGTTTGAATGCTCATGTGTCTGACCCCAGGTTGTGAAACACGACCAAGTTCATTTGTAAACCCACAAATAGGGCTTCTACTTGGCCCTCCTCCCTTTCTCCCCCACACTTCTCCCGGCACTGGACACCGATTGAGGACAGACACACAGAGGTGACCCTGGGCTCTTTATTTGAACCACATTGCGGGGGGGGGGGGGCGGTGTCCTCATCCTTCCCAACAGTAGCATGTCAGGAGAGACAGGCCCAAGGCAAAGGAGAAGACCTGGAACTCAGGGTGGTGCGCCCAGCCAGGGATCAGCCTCAGGATACCTCAGAGAACAATCTAGGGCCACCACCACCCTAATCATAGAGCTGAGTGGTTCGGGAAAGGAATCTAAAATTCTCGTCCTATCACTGGGGTTGAGAAAGAACCTAGAGTAAAACAGCATTCCAGCCAGCGACGGCCGAGGGCGGCTTATACGAGCCGGTGTCAGTCCTGGGCCTGCTTCAGTGGTTAAAGGGGGACCGCTTAGTTCCTGGGTTTGGGAGGTGTATTCACTGTGGATATAGCCATGGCTGGGTTTATCACTTCCGGAGGAGGGGCCAGGTCAGCCTGGGTCAAGCTGATTGCTTCTAGAGGAGTGGCCAGGTAAACACCTGGGGTGGGCCCATCTCTTCTAGAGGAGGGGCATGGTCAGCCTAGGGTGGGCTCATGGCTTCTAGAGGAGGGACAAGGTCAGCCTGGGGTGGGCTCTTCGCTTCTAGAGAAGGGGCCTGATCAGCTTGGGGTGAGCTAATCACTTCTAGAGGAGAAGCCTGGTCAGCCTGGGGTGGGCTCATCGCTTCTAGAGGAGAAGTGTGGTCAGCCTGGGGTGGGCTCATCACTTCTAGAGGAGAAGCCTGGTCAGCCTGGGGTGGGCTCGTCGCTTCTAGAGGAGAAGTGTGGTCAGCCTGGGGTGGGCTCATCACTTCTAGAGGAGAAGCCTGGTCAGCCTGGGGTGGGCTCATCACTTCTAGAGGAGGGACAAGGTCAGCCTGGGGTGGGCTCATCGCTTCTAGAGGAGGGACAAGGTCAGCCTGGAGTGGGTTTATCGCTTCTAGAGGAGGGGCTGGGACTTTACAGGGCACCAATGCAGATTCCACAGCTGAGTCTCCACTACCCATAGTAGAGTTCCCTAACTTGTAAAAGCGCAGAAAGGTCTCCGAGGGGGTGGCCCCTGTATGAGGGGCGAACCCAGCTGCCCGCGCTATCTCCTCAACACGGTCAGAAAACGCCTTCAACTCCTTGGGCCGCAGGTCCACCAAGTACCTGGTTCAGGAAACCGCATGTGAGAAAACTGGGTTTGGGGCCCGGCTGGGACCTTCCCACCCTGCTCCTCTCTGGCTCACCGAGCTAATTCCACAACCAGGTTTCCTCCAGGGGCCACGCAAGCCCCAAGCTCAGGGCTGAGAAGATGGACCATCCTGCGAAGAGAAAAGGCCCCAAGCTTAGGGCTTGAGAAGATGGGCCAGCCTGCGGATTCTAGGAGCTGTGACACACGGGTAAGGACGAAGGCCCTGAGCACGTGGAGACTGTAAAACTGATCCCTGGATCCCGAGAAAGAAGAAACCGGGCCTGATGCTAGGTCTCTATGGGCACACCTGTGTCCTGCTTACCCACAGGACACATAGAGCAGTTGGAACCGGCCCTTGTAGCAGGTCTTATGGTGGAGAGTCTGCGAAGACTCGAGGGACAGAAAGTGCATAGTAAAGGGTTCTCGAGTAGGCGCTGCAAGAAAAGGGAAGAAAAACATCAGTTCTGGGGCTGGAGAGAAGACTTACCCTGCTAAGAGAGTGTGCTACTCTTTGTACCTAGCACCAAAACTCATGTTGGACTGTTTATAACCACCTCTAACTCCTTTCTAGGGATATGCGCCCTCTTGTGGTCTCTGACAGCACCTACACGTGTATGTGCATATACACACAAAATCTAAATCTTAACGGAGGTAGTCAAAAAGACACACGAGTGGGCAGACAAACAAATAATGGAGTTCCTTGTTCTCTACTTTTGTTTTTGTTTTGTGACAGGTTCTCATCTTGTTGCTGATGATGTCTGGATTTGTTACCAAGAGCAGGCATTTCTTCCTGTCTCAGTCTCCTGAATGCTGGGATGACATGCATGACCACGCCTCCTCGCTTTCTTGGCTTTTTCTTTAGAGTTATTTTTTGGTGATGGTGTGTTCCTCAGTGTGCGTGTGAAAGGTCAGGTGACAACATTTTGGAGTCTGCTCTCTCCTTCCACTTTTACTTGCATCCCAGGGATCGAACTTGGGTTGCAATACCCTGATGGCAAGCACTGCTCCCTGCTGAGCTATCTTGTTCACTTTCCTTGTCCTTCTAGAAGCCCCCCCCCCTTTTCATCCTTTCTCTGAGCTGGATTCCCACAAATCTGGGGAGGTGGGCCCATGAGGCAGAGACCCATTTTGAATAGAGGAACAGGCTCTTAGGAAGGGATGAGCTAAGGGATGGAATAGTTAAGAGCGAAAGGCAGGATTCATGTGGCGAGCATGTCTGGGGGAATCTAGACAGTTTCCAGTTAGACCTCTACAGAGGACTGAGAATTCTCCTAGTGGTGGTGTCAGGATTTAGGAAAGGGGGGGAAAAGAGAGAAAAAGAGAACAGACATCAAAGAGAGGCCAACTGCCCAGATATTCCAAATTAGATCCATCCAAAATTGGGGAAAAAACAGCCCATCTGAAGTTTGCAGCTGCTGGCTTCCTACCATCCGGCTCGGGCGACTCCAGGTACTCCTGGATGGCTCTCGGGCCCCTCCAGGCGGCCACTTCTCTGAACAGCTCTGTAACATTGTGCTGCGTGATCTCGCTTGCAGTCTGCCCAGGAGAAAAGGCGAGGGGCCCCTATGTTAGCCTAGGAACCTTACGGGGGTGGCCTAGATTGGCTGGGGCCGGGCTTACTGTGCACAGGTGACAGCTAGAATTTCTTGTCGCTTTCCCAGGGCTGGGTTTAGGACATAGTAAGAGAACTGGATCGTAGCGCTCCCAAGTGGGGTCCAAGAGGTTGGGGACAGAACCTGTTACTTGGAGACACCGGACCGAAATGAGGGATGGAGCTCAAACAGGCATTTGGCGGAAGGGGCAGGACTTGGAAGACAGAAGGCAGGAACCTGCCTACTGGGCTGAACCCCAGCCCCGTCGGCCACACACCTTGACCGGTTGTCCGTTACTCGTCCGTAAGAGGCTCTGGTCGTCTGCCTCGATGCCAAAAGCTACAAAGGGGCCCGTGGCGATATCCCCCCAGTACCCGCGCGCTGCCACGCGTTCCCCACGCTGGAAAAAAAAACGGGAAAATGAGATCGCGAGTGACCTTGACTCATAGGTTGAACTAAAAGACTCAGAGCAAGCCTGGGGGTAGACACGCACGTGGCTCAGGAGGCGACCCGACGCCAGGGTCCTGTTGGGCACGTGGTAGGCACTTGAGTCTCTAAGTTCAAACGCAACACCTGTGTCCCTCCAGCGTCGGAATTCCTGGATGTGGATGACTTGGGCCTTGATGATGGAAAAGGACTTGATGGTCAATCTGGTATAGGAACCCCAACTCTATTCCTATAGGAATCACTCTCCCTCAGACCCCAGTCCTCCTTCCTCAGACCTGGGGTCAAAGTCCCAGCCCTCTTGCTTCACTCAGGACTCAGATGCCGGCCACCTGCTCCCAGGCTCCCTTACCCCTCGATCATGCAGCTTCATGCGCAGGTCCCAGTCTGCAACACCACGCCGGGCATCGTAGCGGGAACCCAGGTAGTGGCGCAGCCTCGAGTCCCAAAGGCGACTCATGGGAAACACCTCGGGTCCCTTCTCCCCTCCTGACCAGAAGCGGAACACGGCCTCCAGGGCATCCCGCTCGCGGAACTGCACAGCCACGGACACATGGAGATAGCCAGAGATACAGGGAAGGTTTCTCTTCAGTCCATTATAAGTGGGAATGAGGAGGGAGAGGGAGAGAGAGAGAGAGAGAGAGAGAGAGAGAGAGAGAGAGAGAGAGAGAGAGAAACTCAGCGAGAAAAGGCTCCCCTAACCCTATGACCCAATAGTAGGAGTCATCTCCGTTCTTCCCACAGGCCATGCTCCTTCCATCCCAGAGGTGGGCAGCTGTGGCACCTTGAGCGGCCGGAGGCTGAGCCAGGGTAGTTGCTCCTCCAGGCGATCAGGTTCAGGGACTAGATGAGACAGGCGGCTAGCCTGGTCGCGCACGAAGGCAGCTACTGAGGGTCGCAGCAGCGCGTTCCCCCACAGCTCCAGGAAGGTCTCACTCCGCTCTGGAGGGAGGTGGGAAGGAGGAGGCTGAATGGAAGATGTGGCAAACTTCACCAGTTCAGGAGCTGCAGCCACCACCCAGCACCGCAGATCGAAGCTGGGACTTCACGGAGGCAAGGCAAGCTGGCCTATAGCCTCAAGCCTCTTGAAATTTTGGGTTGTTTTTGGTTTTTGAGACAGGGTTTCTCTGCGTAGCCCTGGCTGTCCTGGAACTCACTCTGTAGAGTAGGTTGGACTGTAACTTACAGAGATCCACCTGCCTCTGCCTCTCAAGTGCTGGGATTAAAGGCATGCGCCACCACCACCCAGCTAAGCGCCATCACCACCCAGCTAGATGACAACTCCCAGGAGTCAGTTCTCTCGTCCTACCCAAGTGAGTCCAGAAATGAAACTCAGATCACCGAGCTCGGTAGCACCTTTACTAACTGAGCCAGTTCCATAGCCTCTGTTTGGTTTTCGAAATGGCATTTTATGCATCCCGCAGAACCTAGAACTCTATGTAGCCAAGGACAGCCTGAACTTCTGAACCTCCTAGCCTCCTCCCTAGTGCTGTGACAACCTGTGCCACCATACCAGGGGGCTACATCCCCAAAGTTTTACCTATTTAGTTAATTTTTTTAATGTATGAATGCTCTGTATGTACACCTGCATGCCAGAAGAGGACATCAAATCCTATTATAGATAGATGTGAGCCACCATGTGCTTGCTGGGAATTGAACTCAGGGCCTCTGGTTCTTCTCTCCAGAACCCTTATTTTGTGTTTTGTGTTTCACTATATTCCCAGGCTGGTCTGGGACTCACTCTGTGAGCCAGGTTGGCCTTGAACTTACAGAGATCTGCCCGCCCCTGCGCCATGCCCATCCCATCTCCAGAAGGCCAGTATCTTTGAAGGGAGAGGAAAGAGTCTTGAATTTGGATGCTAGGGTCTCGGCAACTGACCTTGAAGCCCCATCTTCTCGGGATCCTCTAGGGCTAGGCTGAAGATCAGCATGTGTCGTGCCACAGCTTCTAGATTATTCTCCAGCACATAAAACTGGAGGGACTACAGACAAGACAGTTCTACAGGTCTAGGAGCCGAGAAGACTAGCCTCCTGCACCCACCCTCCACCCCTACGGTGGAACACAACCAGGGGCTATGTACAAGCCAAGGCAGCACTCCCCCACTGAGCTACATTTCCCAGCTCTCTTTTTCTGTTTTCCTTCCTATTATGAGGCAAGGTCTCACTCGGTCATCATTGAACCCTGGCCTTCAACTCTCTGCAGCTCAGGATGGCTTTGAACTTGAGATGCTTCTCCTGTCTCAGCCTCCTGAGCAGCTGTGATGACAGGCTTGAAATACTAGGTCCAGGGGTTGGAGAGACGGCTCAGCAGTTAAGAGCACCAGCTCCTCTTCCAGAGATCCTGAGTGCAGTTTGCACCCACAACCATCTATAATAGAATCTGAAACCCTTTTCTGGCATGTGAGTATACATCAGAGCACACACATATAAATAAATAATTTTTTTTTAAAAAGAAAGAAACACTAAGTCCAGCTTGCCAGTTCCTTCTTCAGCCATAAGTCTAGATTCCAAACCATCCCTCGCACCACAACTGGATACCTGGTTTTGGGCTCTCCCTCTTTCTGAAGCCCAGGAGTCCCAAACCCCAGACCCTTACTTCCCCAGGACATGCATGGGTCTGAGGCCTCCAGCTTCCATCTCCTCAGACCCACAGCCTAGTCTCAAGCACTTTTCCTCTAGGACCCGGAAATTTTCATTCCTATTCTCTCTTCTCATAAGGGCTCAGGAATCTGGGCTCTCAGTTCATCCTGTCCCATCCACACCCCCAGAACCCCAGCTCACATTGAACCTCCTGAGAGGCCAGAGAGCCGCCCTGGATAGCGTCCGCAGCACGTGTCGCCCATCCACAGAGCCTAACAGCAGGGCATCCAACTCCGGGATCTTGTGCTCTGTCGCTGCCTGTGACTCTGGGTCCACGGGAGGACCTGGCAAGACAATAGCGGGCAGGGGCCAGCTTCCTAATCTTCATTTCCTGCAGCTGCCTTTAGAAGCTACGAATCCAGCAAGCTTGGTACCCCAGCCTGGGTTCCAAAGGCAGTTGTACCTCTGCATTATGGCATTCGATATCATCAAAGAAGATTGTGGGGGTGCTCCTCTCCCAAAGCCGCGCACACACACACACACACACACACACACACACACACACACACACACACACACATCCCCTGCCATGAACACAACTGCTATGAGGGGTGCACACATGGGGGTTGGAAAGGCACTTCTGTCTAAGACCGCATGTGGTCCTGAGGTAGAGAGACTCACTTTCAGCCTGTAGGTCTAGCGCTGGGGACAGACCCCACCAGGACACAGAGCCTAAGCCGGCGCCGGAGCCCGCAGGTGTGGTCATCGCCCTGCGGCACAGGGATCCTGGGAACTCATTTGTCCACCCGATCCCTTTCTCACTGCCCCTCGCTTCTTGCCCCTTCACCTCCAGGTTGATCCCCTCACCTTTACCCTTCCAAATATCCGGAGGTAGATCCTCTTTTGCAGAGTGCTGTGTTGAGCTCCAGAAAGCCCGCACAAACTGTTTTCTAGAGGCTCCGCCCTCTATGAGAAGTCAGCCAATAGGAGCATGTGGTCTTGCATCATTGTTATCAATTGACCAATGAACGTGAAAAGGCGCCGCTCACTACGAACGTTTGACCAATTAGAAGCGCCGAGGGACGGCTAGGCGTGGTCCGGAACAGGACGCCGGACGCGGTTGTCATGACGATACCCCAGTTAGAGGAGGGCGGAATCTGGATCAGTTCAAATTTCTAGGAAGGAAAGGGCTTAACTCGCTGCTTCTATTTACATTAGAACTGAACAAAATCTTTTTTTTCTGCTCTTTTTTTTTTTTAATGAGACAGCGTCCCTCTGTATTCGAGTTACTCCGAACTTGCAGCAATCCTCCTGTCTCACTCATCTGACTTCTGGGTTTTAAGTCGTGAGCTATCACCCCTGGCTTCGAATGGAATCTCTATAAATCCAAACTATAACGCGGAGCCCAGACTGGTGCCTTCAGATTTGTTTTCCTTTTTCGTTCACACCTGGGCTCTGAAGCTCTATAAATCCAAACTATAACGCGGAGCCCAGACTGGTGCCTTCAGATTTGTTTTCCTTTTTCGTTCACACCTGGGCTCTGACTGAATACAGGCCTCAACGGGTGGAAAGCAGGTCCCTGATCAGTAAATTTTCAGGCTGCTAATCACAGTCATTACTCAATATTGAATCCTTAGCTGGTGCTGTGGCAAAGACCTGTAATACCAGCACGGTTCCGTAGTTAAGGGCACTTGCTGCTCTCCTTGAGTACTGGAGAATTCAGTTCTCAGCATCCACAACAGGGGGATCACAACTTCCAGCTCCCAGGGATCGGACGCCTTCTTCTGGCTTCTTTGGGAACCCACAAACACCTCTCTCTCTCTCTCTCTCTCTCTCTCTCTCTCTCTCCCTCCCCCTCTCTC